ATGAATATATATATATACAACAAAATAAATAAATACAAGAAAACACGAAGAAAGTTAAGAAAAACAATAAGTTTCATTTATTGCGCATAAGCTGCAAGTAAGCAGAACTCATTAGATAAGTTCAAAATGAAGATAAAACAAAGGAAAATTATAGACATATGAAAAAAAAGGGGGGGAATAATAATGAAAAAATAACAAACAACTGATTTAAAAAAAACGATGAAATTATTGTATCAATATAGCTAAAGCAAAATATATCAATACAATAGTGTGAGGAGCACTCAAAAAAAAAATTTTTTTACAAAAATTGCAACAAATAAAATAGAACACAATAAGTAAAAATAACACGTAAAAACAGAAAACAAAATAAAAGAAAAAACACGATAAAATAAAATCTATAAAGCGAGTAGCGAAATCAGATGTACTTACATGAGCAGGAAATTTTTCAAGAATGATTTAAAAATATTTTCGCAACAAGATTGCCAGATTACAAAATTTGAAAACAAAAGCGCAAATTGAGTGTAACTAGAGGAATTTAAAGTGTCGTTCTTACTGCACTGCTGAAGTGATTTGTTATTCTGTTTAAACTGTTGTTTGTTATTTTTTTACTTATTATTTCCCCCTTTTTCATATGTTTTTAATTTTTCTTTGTTTTATTCTTCATTTCGAACTTATCTAATGGGTTCTGTTTATTTGCAGCTTAAGCGCAATAAATGAAACTTTTTGTTTTTCTTAACTTTCTTCGTATTTTCTTGTATTTATATATACAGTCAAACCCCGCTATAGTGAACCTTCAATGGACCGAAATTTAGGTTCACTATAACCGGGAGTTCATTATATCCGTTACGCAGGCAATTTCACTAATGTTTCCCAAACTCCTCCCTTTTAATACATTATATTCATATAAATGACTGAAAAATATTATGTAGTTGCAAAAAATGTGTTATTTTTCATCACTCTTCGTCTTGCGTACAAATAAAAATTAGCTGATGAGCAATCCTCAACATCAGATATGGAAACTCTTCCCGACTCTCAGATAATTTTTCCTAAATTTCTGTTATTCCGCTTTTTAAACCTGTCTAACCTGCCATTTGAACACATAAAAGTAGTTTCTATAGATGGTTTTAAGAATCGGTATATGTATTTATTTTGAAGCAGAAATTTCAAAATTATTACAAAGAAAATGGGCGGGAAGTCAGTCGAAGACAGAAAAAAGTTCATTATATCCGACTTCCTCTCTTTTTTGTTTCACTATATCCACTAAAAATAACATTATACGAGGGTTGCTATTTATATTTCTGGCCTAATAATGAAAAGAGAAACATGTAGGATTGAAATTGGTTTTATTGTTTTTCAAAATATTTTCCATGATGATCAATACAGTTTTAAATGCGTTTGAACCAATTTTCAAAACACTTTTACCAGTCCGATTGAGGTAACTCCAAAGCATGCGTTTTGAATGCATCAACCGCTTCTTCGGGGGTCGAAAATCGTTGTCCACGTAGTTCATTTTTGATGTGTGGGAATAAGAAGAAGTCATTGGGTGCCAAATCAGGGCTGTACGGCGGATGACCCATCAGTTCGGTCTTTCGCTCAGTCAGAAATGCCTTTGTTTGAGTCGATGCGTGAGAGCTCGCATTGTCATGATGAAGAATGATTCGCCTGTTCTTCTGCTTTTTTCGAATTTCTCCGATGACTTCTGGCAAACAAATGGTCGTGTACCATTCAGAATTGAACGTCCAGCGTTGCTCTAACGCCACTGTTGCCACATGATCGTTAATGCCGAAGAAACAGGCAATCACTTGTTTCGATGTGCTTCTTCCTCGAACAACTTTTGTTGGTCTTGCCGCGACTTGGAAGACCCATACAGTTGATTGCTGTTTTGTTTCCGGCTCATATGTATAGATCCATGATTCGTCACCTGTGTAGATGTTATACACAGCCTTTGATGTACCTTGAACGTATTTTTCCAACATTTCCTTGCACCAATCGACACGAGCC